GTACTCACCAATATCCTTCATGACATATATTAAAGTTTCAGCTGCTACACCATAACAAATTTCTTTGTCAACCTTCAATAAGGTTAACTTAAATTTAAGTTTGCATATGTAAATGTAACTCTCTTAATTTCTTTATTTTGATTAGTGAATAGTTCTAAATAATTTTCTTGATTATTTGATCTAGATGACATGTCATGCCAATGAAATGATAACCATTGATGTAAGTTAAATCGAACACAATCAACTACTACAGTCAACATGTGATGCACCAAGATCTAAAATAGAAAATTTTCTTTTTTTTTTCTCTCTTTATTATCTTTTTCAATTCATTAATAACTATAGCTCACTAATTACATTTAGCGATAATACAAACAATGAAAAATATAATTATATCATTACACTTAATATTTATATCCTTATTAAAGTTTAAAATATCAAAATAATATATATAATAGCCACAATAGGCTAGAAAAAAATTTACAAAATTAAAGAGCTAAAAATAAAACTAAATTATCATCATTGTCTAGCCTGACTATGCAGGCTCCTTACCTTTACTTGTAATCATATAAAAACCATGTAATAAATGCAAAGCCCAACTAATAATCAAAATTGATCACTCTATTCAATGAAAGACAACATAATTAATATATGCCTGCCCGAGTTATAGTTCTAATTAATATCAATCAATAATTAAATGTCTATCAATATGAACAATAAGCAATCTATACAATTATTTCAATTAATATTAAAACTAATATGATCAATAAAATTAAAAGAGGTTTATCAAACAATAAATTGAAAATGATAAAAAGGACTATCAATTGATATGCCATATTAGTATTCCATATCATTATACTTATCAATATACTGCATCAATATCCATATCATAAGATACATCTTATTGTATCAATATCAATATAGGTTATACAGATCTATTTATCAATTTGTATGTTGTCATGAAAATGCAATTATAAATGTGATTACAAATAATAAGGCATAACATTCAGCTTTAATGTGATATAAAGCGATATTTTTATTATTCCATCCCAACTGTCAACCAATTGATCATCAATCTTTAATTAAATCCCAACTATTAACCTGTTGGTTATCAGTCTCTATCTTACCATTATTGTTTATTATCATAAGTCAATTTATATGCAACTTTCAATCATTAATGAAGAGTCTCCACTCTTTGTCAATCGGCATAATTTGGTTAATTAATTACAAGCTAACATCTAGGATTACATCATAATTTTTTTTTATTTTAAGAAAAGCTGTCGGCCCATTCTCAAACCTAATTGAGGGGGACACGAGCCCCCCTAAAAATAATGAAGTTTAATTAAGGATTAAAAAAAAGTCTGGACATTTGGGGTAGGCAATCGTAGTGATTTCATGACATGCATGAAAACTACTATACTGTTATTGCCACTGGTTAGTAAAACATGCATAATATATAGATATAATTCTTATGTTGATCAATAAATCAGGAGTAAATACTGTTATGGCCACCAGTCACTAAGAGTATATTTACTTACAATAGGCATAACTTTTGTTATATGAACAAAAAACAAAGAATTTCCAGAGGAATTCCTCTCTCTTCTTGTCTTCCCCTTATATTCTTCTCTTCCTTGGCTCCTTTCCTGGTAAAAAACAAAATGAGGGGAGGGGGAGGATTATTGCTATTAATATAATATAAAACATATATATAATTGATGTTTAATGCCTAGCGTCATATTTCTCCCATGACCCAGTACAACTATGTTGCACAAAAAATATATTACTACACCGCAGCGCCACCACAGTGCCATTGTGCTGAATTTCTAGAAATTCCAAAGAGCTCAACACCTCATTGGAGCTTCCCAGTGCTTCTAGTCTTCCCAGCACCGATGCACTTGCAAGCACAGTGCCGCAATGCTCTAGTTTAAATATTTTAGATTTTTATTTAAAAATTATTTTATAAATTGGAACCTGACCCCTTTGTTAAACGGGTTAACCCAAACCTAAAATTTTTAGGCCAGGTTCTCAGGTCGTGTCATATATTGATACCCTTACTTACAACGAGCAAAATAACTTTTGTAATAGGAACAACTAATAAAAAAACCCTAGAGGACTTCCTTTCTTGCCGCTTCTCTTCTTCTCTTCCTTGGCTCCTTCCTCGACAAGAAATGAAATGAGGAGAGGAAAAGCTTAGGGCTAGTAATATATTATTAAAAAACATGAAAATATTATTTAGTACCTAGCGCCGCGATTCTCCCATGATCCAATGCCACAGCACTGCATATAAAATATTACAATGCTGTAGTGCCACCTCAGTATTATTGAGCTAAATTGTTTTTCAAAAATTCCAGAGATCGTAGCGCTCCAATTTAGAATTTTTGGATTTTCTATTCATTTGAAAATTATTTTACCAAATTTAGGTTGTTACACAACATGTTCCTATAATTTTTTTTTTCTTCTCATCTTTGATCAGTCATAAAGAAGGAAGACTATGATCTTAACTCTTCATTAAATCCCCACATTTATGTTTGACTTTACTGTGTACACTATTATGCTCCAACATGATCTAATAGTTTTTATTTTCTCTTCCAATTTAGGAACCATTTTCTAATAAATGAGTCTTCGTCACCTTGGTTTGTAATAATTTATTCTTGGGGATTGAACAAATAGTAGTAAAGACAAAATGCAATGTCTTTCTACACCATACATTCTAACCAATCAGGATATTTCTCAAATCATTTGAATTAAACATGTGTGCAACATTTCCAATTAATGTTTTGGAGAAATGATGGTCTTTTTGGTTTTTAAGGTCCCTTCAACAAATATAATCTTAATGATTTCTTTTTAAATAACAATCCTATAATAATTTATCTGTCTCATTCCCATCATAACTCCATATTGAAAGTCAAACCTAAGGATCAGTAGGAAGATTGTTAATATCAATCACTATATTTTAATGATTTCTTTTTAAATAACAATCCATTATTTGTATCCTAAAAAAATTGAACTTTAACGTCAAACTTTTCTCATAATTTCAATACTAAGAAATTATGCTTACATAGAGTTAAGAAGCATGTGACACTAACAAATGGAATAAATAAAAATCATCAATTATCCAAAAAAAAAATTAAAGTGTAGCTCTACTAAATATCTTCATAAGCTATTATGCATTATTTTATAGACTATGCTTTATAGTAAATGAAATTTTAAAAAAATGTTGTTCCAATTTTGCATTTGAAGATCATTCTCATAACAATTATGTTGGAATTTCAAAATTTAGAACATAACTATGGTACATTAATATGTGGTAGGCCTCTAGAAGTCTAATTGGTAATGTCACAATACCATATATTGATCATCATATGTTAAATATCATTGATAAGATCAAAACAATGACAGCAAAAAAGACAAAATTTCTAATGTACTATTAACCTAAAAATATAATGGGTAATGAGTAGGACTTGATTATATGAAAATTCCCAAGAGAGATGGATTTCACTGAAAGAGAGACAAAATCATTTATAATAAAGAGGTTGTTGTTGCGTAATTATGAGAGTTGCTATGTAAACCTTGTCTCAAGAAGACAAGCTTTATCTTTCTTAATAGATTATTATGGAGAATTAATTTGGGGTGTAACAGAGTCAAGCTGACTCGCGAGTTAGCTCGAGTTTGACTCTTTAACGAGCTCGACGAGTCATGCTCAAACAGGATTTCGTGCTTGACAGGCTTATCGAGTTTGTGTTCGAACAGGCTTCTGCTCTACTCGACAATTCGTTGAGCAACTCGAACGGGGGAGACGGAAGACAAATCGCCCTCTACACACCAGAAGACGAACTGCATGCACGACGAGACGATGACATGAAGACGAACCTCCACTCTACTCAACAAGACAAACCTCCACATCGCATGCAAGCCGAAAGATGAACCACACCGCACGCACGCATGCCGAAAGACGACGAACTGCAAGCCATAAGACGAACCTCCACTCGACTCGACGACAGCACACACGACATAACCACAAGTGAGAAAATGAAAATGTGGGCAAGAAAATAGATTAGAACTCAGACTCAGATTGAAACTCTGGTGCTAAGTCAAGCAGCTCGACTAGCTCGTCTTAGTGTCGCAAGTCAAGCTCGAACTCGATTGGAGTTCTAGCTCGGTATTTGATTCGCGAGTCGAGCTATAACACCCCCTGACTCGAGCTCGACTCACTCGACTCGTTTACACCCCTAACCTCAATCTTTCATCATTCATTGAATGTTAAGTGTCGAACATTATTAAAATTTGAAAATATAGAAAGAATAAAGGTGGAATAGAAACACACAAGCTGGTGTGCTATTTCTAAATATCGTCTGCCGCCTGCGTGCGTCAAGAGATTGAGAACAAGTCGAACGGGCTTCGCCTCCCACCTACGTGCGTGAAGAGATTGGGAATGACAAGACTTGGGCAGAGGACTTAAATTAGGGCAAAAAAAAATTTTAGGATGACAAAATTTCAAAATTGCCTCTTCCTCACATATAATTTTTTATTTTGAGGGTGGGCAGTTGTCTTGTTGAAGGTGAAGAGGAATGGAGGACGCTCATCAATAAGGCACAGTTGTTGCATGAGTATATGACGTACGGTATCGTATACAATAATTGATCTCCGGAAAATTAGATTTAACGGATTACCCATAATGCCGTTTTATGAGGTAACAGACAATTTTTTTTATGCGGGACGCCCCCATACCAATGGCGGATCTTTTGGCCGACAGTTTTCCCTCCCGGGAGACTGATTTGCTCTAGCTTTCACTGAGCCCCACATTCTATCCGCCAATAAAAATATGCCACGTGTTATACGCCCGACTCGTTTCTCTCACGTGCCTTCCGACTGGGCGGGGACCGCCAGGTCCCAATTCCGTAATTTGCTCGATCTGCGAGGGCATGGTATTAAAAAAACCTTGATTATTTGGCTTTCCAGCAAATTACCGTTCGCTAAAATTACTAAAATGACGGCTTTTTTGCTTTCCATGGCGGGTATATAAACCAACGGACGCCGACGAAGGGAGAGCTTTGAAAACGGGGAAGGCGAAGCACGAGGGGGAGTTAAGGATTCGAGAGGATCGAAAGCAAGTGTACGAAGTGGAAACCCTCGTTCCCCCTCGCTGAGCTCTCTCGTAAGCAACTGCTTCCATTCCATTGCGCCGAAGCCCTGTGGTCGAGGATTCTGAAAGCTTCCTCGAGCTCTTATCGCTGCCAGGCCGCTTCTTTTTTCAGCGGTCAGCTGGCATGGATCCGTACAGCGGCGAAGGTACCCACCCGGATCCCGACAGTGGGCTCCAAGGTAAGTTCTACAGGACTGTCTGCCTTTCCAAGCCCGCTATTTCGCCCTTTTTTCACTGGTCTCATTTTGCGGATTGAAGGGTTCTTAGGGTTTATAGCTTAGCATTTGGTTGATGGGCTTCGGCGATTTTCTGTTTTGGTAAGTGTGATTTTGCATTGTCTTAGAGTCTATGTGGCGTCTGGGACTTGGCGGTGGCGGCAATCGTAGTGGCGGCTGGGGTTCTGCTTTTCCGGAGAGGCCTGGGAAACGGGACTGTGCTTACTATTTGCGGACTGGTACTTGTGGGTATGGTGAGAGATGCCGCTATAATCACCCCCATGATCGCAGCGCTACGGTGAGGACATCTGAGTTTTTTTTTTTTTTTTTCTGTCTTATATAATTGCTTTGGAATTCTTATGTTTATTCTAACTAAATAGTATTTCAAGAATTTTTTTCTATTAAGTTGCTGGAGGGTTAACTTAAATTTGGTGAATTTACGGCATTGGTTAGTTTCAGCAGGTAGCTGGAGCTGCGAGGCTAGTAGCTGGAGAGTATCCGGAACGCTATGGCCAGCCTTTTTGTGAGGTATTGTGTCCCGTTGTATTTTGTTTGTTGTAATTGGACAATGTGGTACCTTGGCACTACATGGATGATCATGAATTTTTGAATTGAATGTTTTTTTAGCAGTTCTTTTATTTTACTAATGTCCTAGTTTATCTGAGAATAATGATGAATATTTCTTCCTTTTTGGTTCCTTCTTTCTTTTTTTTTTTCCTTTTGGCAGTACTACTTGAAGACTGGGACATGTAAATTTGGTTCTACATGCAAATACCACCATCCTAGACAAGGAAGTGGATCTGTTCAGCCAGTCTCATTGAACTATTATGGATATCCATTACGTCCGGTTGGCCTTCAATGTTTCAAAGATGTTTAATTAAGATGCTTAAGTTCTTATGATTTGTCTATATTAAATTGCATTGGTAAGACTTAGTGCATAATTTCTAACTGTTATGTTGGGCTATGAGATGTAGGGTGAGGAAGAATGCTCATACTTTATGAAGACGGGGAAATGCAAATTTGGCTTAACTTGTAAATTCCATCATCCACAACCTACTAGTGCCTCTGTGTCCCCTCCTGCACCTGTGTTTTATCCAACAATGCAGCCTCCGTCGATTGCTACACCACCACAATACCCTGAGGTGGGTGTTTGGCAGGTTGGGAGGTCTTCTTCATCTGTGTCTGGATCGTATGTGCCAAGTTCATATGCCCCTATGTTGTTTTCACCTAGAGTTCTTCCGGTCCATGGTTGGAGTCCTTATCCGGTTCGTTCTTGGTGCTTTGCTTACTAAGTGCGATATAAGAAGAAACCCTTAATTTATGTTTTTTTTTGCTTATTTTATGAGGTAGACACCAATAAATGAGACTGCTTCTTCTGGTACACAACAATCTGCTCGAGTAGAACCACTTTATGGGCAACCTTCTCAGTTATCTCCCTCTGCCCCAGCTTACTCTGGTCTTTATCCTCTTGTAACTTCTTTTGTTGGGCCTTCAACTAGTACTCAGAAAGAGCAGAGTCTTCCTCAGAGACCTGGTCAACCTGAGTGTCAATTTTACATGAGAACAGGGGAGTGTAAATTTGGTGCAACATGTAAATATCATCATCCACCAAATTGGAGCATACCTGCAACAAATTGTGCATTAAGTCCTCTGGGCCTCCCCCTTCGACCAGTAAGTACATTATTCTTTTATTAATATTATGAATGAATCAAACTTTTCTCCAAATTTTTATTTTCGTTGTGCAACATAAACGCGTTGATTTCTCTTGAGATGTTCTAATTTGCACAAATGTTATAACCTTTATCAATTGTCTCTGTTTTGATTGATAAAATACTTTGTGATGTGGTCAATTAAAATAATGATAGTGACATTGAGCCTTTGTGTTATACTTTATGTAGAATTAGTTCTTAGAAATTATTTATTTCCCAAGTATTATTCTTTAACTCAAGGAGTTTAATTGTTGGTGTTCTAGGTAAGTTTCAGGACATGCCAATAGATTTTCCTTTAGAGAATGTATTACTTATTTCTGGGGAATGGTTCTTAATTTGTTGGGGTTTTTTTTTTTTTTTTTTGGTTCCTTTATCTAAAAAAATTGCTATGACAGGTTGGATGCATCTCATAGCTGCATTCTGCATGGTTTTGAGTATATAAAATGGGTTTTATTGGTCACACTATAATATATATTTTTAAAAGAAATTGGTTGAGGTAGAAGTAATGATATTTATTTATATGCAGTGGTTTTAAGATCTTTGGTGCTATTTTTCACCTTTTGTAGATGGCTGCATGTCCTTACTGGGTTTGGAAAAAGGTATAGTAAGAATCAGTGTTTTAGGGTGAGATAACTTGATTATAAGGATTAGTGAATATTTAAGTACTAATAATTAAGTGATATAATACAGTACATGTATTTAAAATATTTCGAATGATATTCTAGCATTTTATTTTATTTTGTGCATTCATTTTTTGGATTGGTTTATCAACTTTTGGATTATTTATAGCATTTCCTTTTATTTTATTTATTGTCAGCAAATCTGTCTACTTAGTTATAATTTTCATTAGGATGATTTTCCTTTTTTTGGATGGTAATTTTTATCTATTTTTTAGGATTTCAATTTGAATTAGTTTGAATGTAACTCTATTTCTATAAAAAGGGATACAAAAGTCATGTATTTCATTATCTTATCATTAATTGAAATTTGAATGAAAATTTCCCCAATCTCTAATCTCTATTTTTTTTCTCTCCATCAACCCTTGCTCCGTCTTCCCAATTTACAAAACTTGTAAATCACTCCTTCCAAAACTATCTAGCTAAGGCTACTCTTAGTTTCCCTTAATGTTATCTATTAGGAAAAATGCTTATTTTTTATGTGAAAGTTTTAACCACGAGTGAATGATGAACAAAGTAAAAAACAAAAGATCAAGAAACTAGATAAAACATCACCTAAAGCACAAAAGCCACAAAAGTAGTATTATAAAAGGCACTCACTCACCAACTGATGTGAAACATATATTAGATGCAAAAATTGCTTGGCGTTAATAAGTGATTGACAAACTTACCGATCATAAAATTAACATTTCACAATAGCTTATTTTAGGATTTTCTTAGTTAGTGATCAAGCAATAGCATGTGGTCACAAATAGAGTAGGAGAATAATAAAATAACAACAAAGACACTAAATGCCTATTTGAAACAAATAGAATTCACACAATTAACAACTAGAACCGTCACAATAAAATTCTCTCACTCACACTCTTTGAGAATTTTAGCTTGAAAAAATTTGACACAATATTAATGATGCTACTAAGAAGAAGCAAACGCTTAAAGTTTTGTTCAAAGAAGAGTTACTCGGGAAAGAGGTGACAAGTGGATAGTGGGAGAGTTGCCACTAAATAGGAGGTTAACGCTGGTCGGTGTTGGTTGCAAGGGAGAAGAGAATTCGATCCACATATTCCTCAACGGTATGGTCATTTCCAAAGTCGATGTCGAAGAAAGGAGAATGGAGCACATCCACTAGGCCTTGATCATCAAAGTCGAATCAATGATCCAATTGGGATCAGCCATCCATGGAGGAAGGGAAAAAGGGGCAGCTACTTGAAGGTAAATAAATGTGTGAGAGTGGGCAATGGCTTTGGAAATTAATGAAGAAGAGAGTGGACAACAATAGGGGAGATTAATGGAGGTTAGGAAGGGGAAATGGCATCAGCTATGGGAATGGGAAAGGCTTTAATTAAGTGGAGTTAATGAGGATTAAGAAAGGGAAAGGTGACAACTAGGGAATAGGAAAGGCTTTAATTAAATGGAGTTAATGAGGGTTGGGAAGGGGAAAATGCAGCGGTTATGGAAATGAGAAAAGCTTTAATTAAGTGGAGTTAATGAGGATTAGGGAGAGAGAAAGGTGGAGGGAATACCAAGAGGCTAGGGGGAAGGTTGGCCGGCCAAGGGAAAGCAACAAGGAGTTTAGCCGCCTATTCGGAAGAGGGAGGGAGGCTTGATTGGCTGTGTGGAGGGGAAGGAAAGGGGTCAGCCATCTGTTTGAAGAGTGGTAAGGCTTGTTGGCTGCTTGGGAAGGGCTGGAATGTTCCGGTGGCTATTTAGAAGGGTTGGAGGCTTAGTGGGATGTTTGGAAGGAGGATGGGGGTGAAAAAGGAGATATGATAAAGCTAAGAACTTGGCCCTACTCCTACAGACTTCACTCTTCTCTCAAGAAGACTTATACACATACATAACTCAGAAAAATTGATGTTTCATTCATAATAATCATCATCTCCATACAGTAGCCTAGGGCCTCAATATATAGGCCTCAAAACATGAAGACTCAAAAAATTAAAACACCCATTAGGCTAAAATACACAAATAACCCAACATAAAGGTAAAATAGGAAAGACTCTCAACATAAGATGAAATAAGAAAATGGAATACATGAAATAAATCATAAATAAAGGTTTCTAATCATAGTCGTCGATCTACGAGTCCTCCTATGATAGACGCGCCAAGATTTCTTGCTGATGTCCTCATCATTCTCCCCTCCCCAGGTGGGAGAAAGCTCACGGGTGCTCTCGTACATCTCTAGAATGTCGGGATCCAATCTTTGTAGCTCATCAAGATCAATCCATGTGTTCTTTATCTCTAGTTTTTCTTTTCATTGAATTAAATACCTCTGGTGCCCACCATCCTTAGTGGAAATGACTTAATTAAGTATTGTTTCAATTTTCTCCGCATTAAGTAAGGAAGTAATATTTGGGAGTGGAGGTAGGCTAGGGTTCTCACCATGTGGGTCACACAAGGCTCAATATGTAATGGGTTTGTGGGGTTAAACTCTGGCCCTTCAAAGACTACTAGATCTTCGATGTTAAATGTATGATTCATGTTAAAACTTTCAGGTAGGTCTAGCACATAAGCATTATTATTTATCTGTGTTATTATTTTAAAAGAACCCGCACTTCTAGCATGTAACTTTTCAATTGTCCAATGTGGAAACATGATGTAGTCAAGATATCCTACTTTATATTTTTCTTATGTGACTACTCATTTTCCTTGTTGTTTGCTGAATTCTCCTACTATTTACTGAAAATTCCTGTTGTTTTCTCATATTCCTGCTGCTGTTTGGTCTTCCCAAAGTGGTTGTTTCATCTTCTCATGATGGTTGTTGGTCTTCCCCCATTGCCTGCTATGTTGCTTTGATTTCTTTCCCAGGAGGCTTCCCCTTCGATCCCTACTTGCTGTGGTTTTCAAGGGAATTCTAGTGGTTGTTTGGGCGGTGCTTTAATTACCATGCATTAAATGTTTTTTTCCTTTTCTTCCCTATATATAAGGGACTATTTTTTCTACGAAAGAGATGGATTATGAAGAGATTTATGAAGAATTGTTGGAATGTGAAACATGCGAGTTTTTAGCTTGCGAGCTATCCTCTTCTGTCTTCCCTCTACTAATTTGTCTATCTACTTTTCTCCACGGTTTTCATTCCACCTGTATTTTTCTTCTCAAAATTTTTATAAGTTGTAAGGTGTCTTGCGTAAATTGTTTGTTGTTGTTGTCCCTTATTTAAAGTTGTAAGGTGTCTCTTTATTTATAATAGTATTTTTATGTTTATAATAAGGAAGACTTGAGTTTGTAAAACTTGTGTTTTTATTGCATCAATTTGGTATCAGAGCACTTAGGTTGTCGTGTGAGTTTCTTTCTTTTTTAAAAAAAATCAAAAACAAAAAAAATGGAAAGGCAAAACAATCCACAAGTTGAAGTTCTTATTCAAGATGAATTTGATCCTGCAGCTTTTGAAAGTCAGCTAGCTATTTCTTGGATTCAAGAGGATAAATTTCCAACAACAAAATGAGTTTCACCTCAATCATGTTCTTCTAATCCACTTCAGAACAAGCTTCACAAAATTCGAAGACACCTGTATTTATATGCAAAAAGATATGAAGCTAAGAAGCATCAACTTCATTCCGAGTTTGAACAAGAAAATAATTTGATCCGAATGAAGTATGACTCTTTAATTCAGGAAACGGAAGAGGCGCAATCGAAACTTCCTGGAAGTTCCGAGACAATCTCATCAGAAGATGAGATTTCTCCACCAAGGAAGAATTGATGCAATCAAGATATCTTACTTTATATTTTTCTTGTGTGACTTCTTATTCTCCTTGTTGTTTATTGAATTCCCCTACCATTTGCTGAAAATTCCTGCTGTTTTTTGAAAATTCCTATTTTTTATCATATTTCTACTGTTGTTTGGTCTTCCCAAAGTGGTTGTTTCTTCTCGTGATGGTTGTTGGTCTTCCCCATGCTTATGGTAAGGAAGACTTGAGTTTGTAATACTTGTGTTTTTATTGCATCAAAATTGCTATGGACAAATCCGTACAATTACAAAATCTCCAACGTCGAATTCTTTAAATCGTTTCTTAAGAGATCTACATTAAGTTTATAATTAGCATTGCTTTGTTCAATCTTTTTATTTAATTCCTTATACAATTCCTGGAGATGCTATGCAGATGTAGATGCATACTCAAATGCTCCAATCCTAGGACACATAGGAATCAAGTCTATAAGTTGCCTAGGTTGGTACTCGTACATAATTTCAGTAGGGCTCATGCCCATGGTACGATTAGCAGAGTTGTTATATGCGAATTCAGCCATCAGGAGTTTAGAATCCCAATCTTGAACGTGTTCTTCTACC